TTAATGTTAATTGATGTCATGTACATACCATAATATTTTTGTCTTGTTTGGTAAATTATTTTATTGAAACAATACAATAAATGCACATTGTAAATACATGTAGAATCACCGGAGGCAAACTCCGATGTCTTTCATTTGTCCCGTGTTTACAGCACATGTAATTGTTGTTTCAATCAAAGTCACGCCCACCCTGAATAAACCGACTCCCTCTGAAAACCGACCATAGATCCCAGTCCCAGTCATGGTCGGTTTTGACAGGTTTTACTGTATATAGAAGAGCAAGAGCAACCATTATTAATTCATTCGTGGTTAGTCACAGTATCGTATCACACATCGCTGTCGTATTCCAGCTCTTTATATATATTCAAAAATATCAGCAAAAGTTTACTTGGTTACAACCAGAACGTGACTGCAGAAAATATGAAGAAGTGTTCGTTTCCAGGATCAAGTCCAAACATTATACAGTAGGAGACGAGTTCTTTTTATAAGGCCCTAGTCAAAAGAATACTAAGTGGTAAGTTACATTACTAAATATGACTAATGTATTTTACCATTATCCACAGCTCGGGACTTTAAGTATTTATTTATTTATTTATTCAGTTTGTTTATTTCTACACAGGAGATCTGAATGACAGAAGCAGTGACGAAGACCTTCCTTCGACGAAAAACACAAGAAATAAGGTCGTTTCGGTCGCATCACGATTAACCGACCTGCAAGACGCCGTACAAGCAACGGTTACGAAGTCAGGGGATTTGCCTGTCCTCAGCGAGGATAACATCATGGCAAACCTGCCATCACCAACACATACAGGTGGTCAAACAACACTTAGTTCTATTCTTTAATTTTTGCATGCCATTCGACGAGATCAGTTGGAAAGAGCAGATCGACATTCGGCAAGCAATGGAAACAAACGTTAGACACATCACTGATCAACTGGACAAACAAAAACAATTTCACATCAACCACCAACATCAGCAGCACCGTCAGATTTTGCAACCAGACACAGTTCATTCATCGGCACGTCACCCAACAGCTCCCGTGCCCAGACAAGTTTTGACGGACAGTAAGTCCACAACTCCACACATATCGTGTCCAGCAACTGCTGCTACTATCACTACTACTACTACTACATCCAAACCGACAAGTTTTGTGTCTATCTGGCCAGTATAACACTTCACTGACTTTTTGTTCGGGGCAACCATCCACCTTGAAATAGTTGACAATCCACCTTTTCGCTGTTCCAATGAGTAGTCATTTTTCACAAAAAAGTTTTATTATGGCTACATTACACCAAATAATATTTCTTGGCAACAATGTTACATGAAAATGCATCATCTAGCGATTTTCTGTTGTTCAATTCTGATGCATTTCTCATTCTTTCGGACGGGGAACCGCCGGTCTTGCCGGGGAACTGCCTGTGTTGGCGAGGAACTGTCGCACTTACTAGACCTGGGAGTAATTGACACCTAAAAATTAAGTGTGAGGAAACTACGGTATTCCCGGGCCATGTCGTGCCGGTTCGGGCATTGGCGGTACCTCACAGGAAACCGACCAGTTTGATTTTGGTCACTTCCCTTAAATATAGTCTTGTTAATAGCGTTAAATTTGGAACATTGCTGATAAGTCACGCTGTGCTCAAGACCCATCATTGCTTCAATGCAGCTATATTTTGCCGTGTATTTTTTGATACCAAGTAATATCTTAATACATTTAAGGTGAATTTTCACTGTGTTGGTGTTTCCCATTTATTATTACCGTATTCGACCACGTTAGCACTCAGGGTCCTCAGGGTCCTCAACTCAAAAATGATTTTTTGTTAGAGGTGGGCACTTACCTGAGCACCCCCCTCAAAAAAGAGTGTAAATGACAATTTTAATCCACCATGTGACAGATTGAGGGGATATTACATCTTTGAGGGAAAATAAAATTACAAAATTAGTTGCGTCATCATTGACATTTACAAAGAAGAAACAAAAATGGTCACAAAAAATATGCACATTTTATTACAATATTAATTACGCACCACTTGAATTTATGAGATTAAAAATATTAAGAGTCTGTTGGAGCACAGTTAAAGTCAAAATCTTCATCATTATCTACATTGTCGAATCTGTTGGATAATAAACAAACTCTTGATGAAAAGCACTTTCCGCCATGATGTTTTGACCACGATTTGACCTGCAACAACGTCCTTTTACCTAATGGGTCAAGTCTTTTATCAACTAATCAGAATGCGGTGTTGTACGAACATATTTCTTCGGAAATTCCAAAGACTTTCTGGTAATGCAATACAGGAGTGAATTATTGATGTTGAAGATCGATCTGTTAGAATAGATTTCAACAAATAAATGGCATGTTTTTTTTAAAAAAACTGGTAACTAGCAATTTTTGATAGGTAAACTGAATACGACATGAAATATTTACCACATTTTACTTTTATTAACAGGTAATAAGTAACAAGCCAGTTGAAATAACTCTGCTGTCCTACAAGAACATTGAGGTAGGCAAGTCAAGCAACGAACACCCATATGACAAAACGCAGTTAACCCACAAAAAGTACGGTAGTTTGGTTCTGGCTGTTGAGAACATATCAACTTAACTTCATCAAACAAATTGTTCATGAAAATAATGTGCACCTCAAATATCAAAGCAATCGGATTAGTAGTGTTCATAAAGTATTTGAAAATATAATTTTTTACAGAAAATTACAAAAAAAAATCACCGTAAATAATTAATGTCATAGTAATGAAATGAACAAATCCGACAGAAGTCCACCCAATGTACCTACCCGGTACATACCGGTATTAAGTATCAAAGCAATTGCGCTGGTGGTTTTCAAGAAGTCAAAAATAGTATTATTACCAAAAATATTTGACAAAAATAGAGAAGTGAAGAAATGAACGCAAAATGAACAAATCTGACAGATGTCCTCCCAAGGAACCTACATACTAAATATCAAAGCAATTGCACTGGTAGTTTTCAAGAAGAAATGCAATTGTTGATGTTTGTGGCATTTTTAACTCGTAGTTATCAACATTGCTTAACATTTAGATTTATTGACATGCATTTTCAGAACACCATGCTGCGACATGAGCAAATGTGTTTTTGTTGTATGATGCGTAATGATTTAACAATACAATTTAGTTGTTTAGGTCTTCTTTGTCTAATTTTTCTATGAATAGGTTTTACAACTACAGGTACTTGTTTTAAATCATCTTGCTCTCTCTCAGACATGATTGAAATAGAACTGTTAAAGACTGAACTATTGATTCCCTACCACTTTCAATGAATTCATTGACTACCTTGTCAGAGCAACATGCTTCCCTTGTTTTGCAAGATTTTATGCCTTGTGGACATTTTTATGGGTATTAATTACTTGTAATTTTGGATTTTTTTATTATTATACGATTCCCTTTTATGGTCAATATGGCTTTCTTTCTGTTTCTTTTTTCTTATCTATTGGTAATTTTAGACACTGTCTCTATCGGCTACATGTACTGGGCATCTCTTTCATTATCGTGGGCATCTTTGATCCCTTTTCAACACTAGTTTATGTAAACATTCCATAAAAACATGTAACGCAAAAAAAGGTTCACAATAGACAAGTTTGTTCCCTACTGCGCTTAATGTTTTACATAGACATGTTTATGTTTTAAAATCTATTTACTGAATAATGTAATTAATATTTTTTGGGATTTGCATGTGTAGTTGTAGCATGTAATTGTTGAACGTTAGCAATCAAATTTGAATTCAAAGACATCAAAGAAAAGACCAAAGTTGACAAAACTTTTAATTATTTAATTATGCAAATTAGATAATTAATATGTATGATTTACATCAAAACTAATTTAGCTCCAGGGTCCTTTCGTCTATGTATGCTAACTCGCTCATAACCCCGTTAGTCAGTGTGTCAAGGTTTCAGCTACACTGTACTTTTGAAAGCGACAAATAATGTGATAAAGAGAGCACGTCTGGCAATGGTGGTTCGATATCAGCCATGGTCTGACTGTCATTTTATCTTATAGTGTCAATGATACGCAAATGTCATCCACAAAAAGTTCATGTCAACGGCACTCTAGATCGTGCATGGAGCTACTGTATTTATAAAAATGCTTTATTTAAATTATTATCCAGTCGTGAATAAGAAAACTGAATGCTGCAACTCAAAATACAGCTTATAGTAATGCAGTTGTCTGTTTTCTAAAAATAAATGTAGTGGATTTGGAATGCCAGACAACAAGGTCGTCGACCCGAACATGAAAGTGTCGATATCACCTCGGAAACTTTAATAAATACGTCTTCCAGAAAAAAAAAAACGAGCAATGTGACGCATTCTGTGCTGCATTGTAATATGATGTTAAAATCTGTAAACTAAGGGATAGACTGGAGAATGTCTTACCTGCAGACAAGCGGTGCCAAAAGTCTGGCATTCGAACGCAAATGCACGGGAAATCGTCGGATGATAGCCGCCATGATTGAATACTAGTACTCGGCGAAATTTCTGTAGCCTCGGTCTCGCTAAGTAAATAGCGCCAGCATACGGCAACTTTTTGCAAATTTGCGTTTCTTGGCAACACCGCCATATTGTTTTTAGTCTGACCATCTTGGTAAATTTTCGTGTGGCTTCATCGAGTTGTTTACTGCATTCGTCGTCGACAAGAGATTAAGGACGTCATCATGGGGACGGTTACTTTAGAAGAATATTTCAGGACTACCTTTGAGGACAAGCTCCTCGTGTAAGTACAATAGAACAGAATTCTTTATTAATACCGTAAAGATAATGTGACATTTCTTTTGTGGTTAACAAGTTAATAACGTCTTTACATGATTGAGCAATCATAAAACTACCCGTGAATATTGAAGATGAGACAATTTACAGTATAAATAAGAATATGGCATTTTGAGCATTATCTATATGTAGTTTATAATGCATTCATTGAATGCCAACAATGCAATAAAATATCTCCATCTCCCTGTCAGTATCAACTCAGATCTTGAACTTTATTTTGATGTCCAAGTCCATTGATAACAACTGACATTGTTACATGTGTTGAATAATAAAAACTGCCGTGTGTCCACACCACAATAAACTCACTGCCAGTTGTTGAAACTCAGTTTACCTCAGCTCGAAACCATTTGAGTGTGTTTCCATTTTATTGCATCTTTGTTTACTTTCCCATCTATCTACATTAAATTATTATTACCCTATATACATTTACTCCTGGTACATGTCTATCAATACATAGTCCAATGAAGATGTCTGGATAACATGACTCTGCATGCCCAATTTTAAAATTGTAATTTTTAAACATCGAAAGTTTAAAAATAATTATGTTTTATATAAATATCACAGACAGAGGAGAACTAGAAACAGTTCTATAGTTCTTCACTCTACATCATTACCGTTACGTCCATGGATTGGTTGCAAAATCCCCTGACATATAATGTAACCTAACCAGCAAAAAAAAATAAAATAAATGTCAGTAATGCATTCCCTGTTGACATTGTTTTTTCCTATTTATTTTGGCTATCCGTTGAAGCTTTCAATCGACGATGTGTTAATAACAGGCACTATTATCAGCATATCTTCACAATATGAAATAGACAAGCAGACTGCTCAACAAGTGGCCCCCACCTATGGTCTTTTGTTCAATTTTATGATTACTTGAAAAAAATAAATGCATTCAACTTCCACTAACCTTTCATGATCTATGTCCTAAACAATATACATTAAATATTTTGAACGTAAGTGCCTAATATATTTTGGAGCCTTGCCAAAAGATCTGCATTGAAAAATGACATATTGAACGTATCATGGTGGTGTCATGGTGACTTCTAACACACTGGGTCTATTGTAGATCAAAAATTACTCAAAATCAACTGTAGGTAAGTATACTCAATATATTTTATAACTTTTATTACCCCTTTTGTAAAGTCATACAATAGTTATCAACATTTATAAATTGTAAATGGTCATTTGGAATCATCTGGCAAATTACATGGCTACTGGTTGTGTGCCATGTAATGAGGGATGAAAATGATAGATAGAAACACACTGTATTTTGAACTAAACATGCCTCTTTATGTTGATATATGTTTACAATATTTGTTCTATTAGAAGCAAATCTCCAATAGAAGTGCACATAATTACATTTATTTTAAGCTCAAAATATGGAATTTTTTGATATAAGTGCATATGCTACTAATGAAGAACTATAATAATTTTAAATGAATTTCTAAAGGATGACGTTGCAAAAATTGTTTTTACTTGCACATAAAGCATTAGTTTAATTCCAAGTAAGGAAAACAAATCTATATAATATATGAATTTAATTTTTGTGTCTATATAGGAAGATGCCGGAAAGGGAAGATGATCATCTCACTCCCGCAACCAGGCTCCTGGAGAAGAGACGAGAAATGGCAGAAGTGGAACAAGCCTTAGCAGCTCAGAAAGAGGTCAGTTTTTATATTGTAATATTAATCAGACCATAATATTATTACCAGAATATTGTTTTTCATGTAACATCTTACCTCCTACCTTTGACATGTTTGGGTGTAAATCAGTCCCCATCACAACAGGGATTACACACTTTGATAAATGTATACCCATACACTCATTTGAGCCAATGACACTGGACACATGAAATGGTATGTTACCAGAATAAGAGCTGAAATGAAATTTAAAGATGTCAGTGCCTTACATTCTTGCTAACTGTCAAATTATGCAGAACATCAAACACAATTTGTAAATTACTTCTTTTCCAGGAATTTCAAATGAAAATGGAAAGCTTACAACAAAGAAGAGAGGAACTTGAAAGGAAAGAATACCAGTTGAAGGAGTCACTTTTAAAATTTGATAAATTTTTGAAGGTAATATTGTGTGAATATTGTATTAAATAATTTGAAGATACCGTAATCACAGCAAATTGAAAAATAAAAGCAAAAAAAAAAAAAAAATCCAAATAAACCTACATTATTATCATCTGAATATCTTCATATGTACCAGTAATATAATTGACAATTGTATTATTTTCACCAATCCTAACTACCAATTTTTGAAAGTAGTCATTGTAAGATTTATAATATATCTTGTACAGTCTTATGGATATAATTTTAAGTGAATAATGGATTTTTTATTGAAAAATGTGTACTGTAATTGCTCTATCAGAAGTGCACATAAAATCAAAAGTTATGCAAATGACAGATGTGTGTCAAAATATGTCTTGATAATCTGGTATACAATAAATGCAATTTTTAGTTTATGTGCATTTCTAATAAAGATATTACGTTAATGGGTTTTTAAAACACTTTATTTTAGGAAAATGATTCTAAGAGAGCAAGAGCTGTGAAAAAAGCTGAAGATGAAAGAAAATTGAAGTTATCTAAAGATACTGAGATAGCCAAGTTTTTAGATGAGAAGCGACAACTAGAACAGCAGAGAGATAAATTAGCTAAGAAGTTATCTAAGCATACAATATTCCATCGATATTTAGAAAAAGTATTAGAGACAGCTGATGAATTTCATGAAATCAGGGAGATCATAGCTAGATATGATACCTTAGTTGCCACAAATGAGGTAAGTTGGTGGTACATATATGTTAAGGTAAAATGCCATTTGCCACTCCTTGTCCTCTTTGCAACACACTCATTTTTCTTTCAGCTAGTAATGCCTCAATTGCATGGTTTTGGTGATCGTGGGGCTTTTTATCTTGAAAAACTGCGTGATCTGTTCTGCTTGGGTCTCATTTAAAAAAAATGCTTTTCTGTATTTTGATACAAGATAGCTGATTGGCTGTGAATTTTTGTGGCATCTCCCCCTCCTTGATGTTAAGAGCACCTATTAAATACACACTGTATTGGTTCAATCTGCCAAGGGTTAGTTTGGAGGGGTGACTCGAAACAAACGTTCCTTGTCTGATGGGTACCTCAAAGCGTTGCAGTAGTATTTGTATATGTAACATTGTACTTTTATTAAACATGACTTTGATATGCTAGTAAATGTCAATACTATATGATATATAGTAAAAATGTACAGTAGGCGAGAGTATATCAAATCAACACAAAAATGAATAATAACAGCAATTCCCAACTGAATGAACTCAAAGAGAGAGAGAGCACTTGAAAACGACAAATTGCAAAAATTGACCAGTTACATTTATTTATAATGTTTATTCTATTGGTTTTGTTTAGGATCTTATTGAGAAGGACCATGAAAACCAAGAAGCAGTGGAAGCAGAAAGAGCAAAACTTCATAAATTTACAGAGGACAGAAACAATGAAATTTTAGAATTCAATAACCAGTTAGCAAATCTTCAAACACAGCTTGACAAAGCACAGAGTGAAGCAGTCAAGTGGTGAGTGTTATTATATGTAAGCTGTGTGTATTCATATGGTGTATACTTGGTAAGAGTATAATACTCACTGCCTCTTTGTGAGGGAGTTGCATTCCACAGATTGTATATAGTATCGTGTGTGACTCCAGGTTATCACAATAAAGGGTTACTGACATGTTTGCTCAGTTTCTTTTATAGAATATAAGGAAGAAAAAAAAGAATCAAATTAAAAGCACAATTTTATTAAAAAAAATACAAAACACAACGACATTATTTAAATTTCTGTTTAATTGTAAAGCTCTGAGCTCATTCTTAAAGTTATATTGGGGTATTGGGATTATTACATGAAATATTTGATTCTATAAATATGCAAGAATTTAATTTAAGGATTTGTCTTGATTTGCTTTGAATGTCTGTGTGCTGCGATATAATTGGACAGTGGGGAATCTCAGTAAATCAACATTAGTTAAAACATTATTCAAAATCACTAGCAAATGAAACACGAACAAACAAATGGAAAGTGATTGGCAATATTTGGACATGCTAAAAACATATCGTATTTGCTCTATTAGTAACAATATCACTACTACTTATGACAAAAGTTGTGTCATAAGAGACACGATGCAAGTAAACATGAATTGAAGCAGTATTGCTGGCACATAAATTAGCTAGAGTTAATCGTGTTTGCTTCCCTGAATACAGCATAAAAGTGTAGTTGTAACTATGACCTTGGTATATTCTGTTCTGTGTCATTTCTTTCATGTCGCTACTACTTCTTGATACCAATAAGTCACTTAAATCTTTTTTTTGGCATATAGGGAGTCAGTATGGACTCACATCAAGAATACAGCTGCCGAAAAGACTCTTGTACTTGGAAGAATTAAAATGTAAGTCTTGTTATCATCTACTGCAGGTGAATGAACTGCCAGCTTTCCTCAAATTAAAACCCATTCAGATGATTATTATGTACAAAGAAACATTTTTACTTTTGTTCTTTTCATACAGGGCAGCACATAACTTGTTTATGCTGGTAAATAGGCATCTTAAACAGCAACAGTTGGTGGAAGATACAACAGAACAACTTAGCAAGGTATGCTTAGCATTATTTTGACGTCTCGTACACTGCTACAGTTTTGACAATACAGTAAAATTGTGGATGTCTAAAACAAACTTAGGTTGTTGACTTTGATTATAAAATCCTACCAGTACACTCATATGGAACACCAAGCTCGGGACACTGTATTGACAATCTTGAATTGTCCAGCAGATAAGCCATCAAAGTAATTGTTCAAATTATGATAAAAGCATGAGATATGTACAGTTTATTGTTCTCATAAAACTAAGCAATGAAGGCTTTTCCTCTCACTTCTGATATTTGGGTTTAAAATGCAACATTTTGGATAAACAATTAACGTGAAATGAATAAACCTGATAGAGGTCCACTGAAAATTGCTAAACACTTGAAGCAATTAGGCTGGTAGTTTTCAAGAAAAAATCGATAATAGTAATTTTTACCACATTCTTGCATGTTAGTTTATATATAACTACAATGAACTGCAAACAACTATATCCATTTATATTATGAATGTATTCCCACTATTCGTCATGGAAATATTTATAAATTTAAATTATAAATAAGAAGGAGATTAATATCATCTTCATAACTTTTGTGATTGCCCCTGTCTTGAACAAGCGTTCTCTGCATAGGAGCGGTTCATACACATGACAACAGTCAATGGCTAGTTCACTGGACTGAAAGAAAAACTCTAGAAAAAAGCTATTCTAAACCATATATAGAGTTTTTGTGAAATTAAAAGTGTAATAAACGTGCATTTTTGTCTAGTACACTTAAACAATGCAATGATTTGTTGTCAAAACTATTAATTCTGTTCTGTCTTTGTTTTTACAGATTCAAGTTTTCATAATGGATCTCACCCAGATTACACAAGAAATCAAGCGTGCCGAGACACTGGGTACATCAGTGGGTGGTGGATCATCAAGTTAAATATTTCATGAAGTTATATTTATGAAAACAAATAATACCAATAGTTGTTAGATCTCTAACCTGCGTTGTGCATTTAAGATCTTCACAGCGCCCTCACATCACGTCAATGGTGTGCTTTTGTTTTTATTCAAAATTCAGCTAAATACGTTTCCTTTGTTGTTTTTTTTCATTTACGAAATCAGTCTTTGTTTTATTAAAATATATCACAGCTTAGTTTGTGTTTTTGTTTTTGCCAAAAGTGTACAGAGAAAAAAGAAATTTCGTTTTTGTTTTTATTCATATTTGTTTTTATATAACCATATTGTGTGTGGATATCACCTTGCTGGCTGGATGATGTATTAAGTATTTTCCATGATAATATCACTCAAAATGGCAAAATGAAAAGTCAATGACAATTTATAATATAGGATGCTTATATATAGTACTTGCCTATAAATCATATCTTGCATGTTCAATGAAAGCTACATGTTGTATTCTCAGTAGCTGCTGACATATAAATTAAAGCAAGTAAATAACACCAAATAAATGACATGGTAAATACTATCTCAAATCAAAGTAAACACATACTACATGCATGACTTGAACCGATGCTTGCTTTAATACTGCACCTAATCACAGAGCTTTATGTCACAGCTCGTCTCCTCTTTGGCCATCGTACATGTAAACTTTGATTTGACGTAGTATTTACTATGCTGTTTATTCCATGCTGTACTCAGGTTGCACTAAATAACTGAGGAGTGGACCATTTGAACTGGGGAGGGGAGGGGTCACAACAATTTTCAAGCTGACTTTCACAGTGCAATAACAATTGTTTGAAAAATAAAAATGTTCATATAGTCAATTTATCCATTTGGTTTCTTGACTCTTCGCAGTATCAAATTATTCATCCTTCAATCTCCTGTCTGTATTTACTGGGGTTATTTAGGCAGGGAGTCCCATTAACTTTTGTGAGATTTAGTCTTCAGTATTAGTAATGTTTTGATTTTTTTTTTAAAGTTTATTGGAAAATAAATTACTATTAAGTTTTAAATATTAAGGAATTTATTATTCATTCTTCCTTTTCACTTCGCTCCTGTATCGTTTCACTCTCATTAATATTATGGACTGGATAAGACTTTTGCCACTTATACCACTGCGTCACCTCAAACAGGCAACAAAATGATGCATTTAGCTTTGATTAATGAAAACCCAGCTGCTGGGCATGATGCAGGAAATTATTTCCCTGATGTGAGGGCGCACTTTTCACATTACAAGCCAGGCAATATCGGCAATACTATTATTAATACCTTACCTTTTGACCCCCTTTATCTTCACTCTCCTCCTGCATCACTTCATCCCCGTTAGTACCTGGTCTCTTCACCCTTTTCGCTTCACTCCCCTTCTGCATCACTTCAACCCCATTAGTTCCTTATCTCTTGACCCCTTTCTCTTCACTCCCCTTCTGCATCACTTCAACCCCATTAGTACCTGGTCTTTTCACTCCTTTCTCTTCACTCCCCTTCTGCATCACTTCAACCCAGTTAGTACCTGGTCTCTTCACCCCTTTCGCTTCACTCCCCTTCTGCATCACTTCAACCCAGTTAGTATCTGATCTCTTCACCCCTTTCTCTTCACTCCCCTCCTGCATCACTTCAACCCCATTAGTACCTTATCTCTTGACCCCTTTCTCTTCACTCCCCTCCTGCATCACTTCAACCCCATTAGTACCTTATCTCTTGACCCCTTTATCTTCACTCTCCTCCTGCATCACTTCATCCCTGTTAGTACCTGGTCTCTTCACCCCTTTCGCTTCACTCCCCTTCTGCATCACTTCAACCCAGTTAGTATCTGATCTCTTCACCCCTTTCTCTTCACTCCCCTCCTGCATCACTTCAACCCCATTAGTTCCTTATCTCTTGACCCCTTTCTCTTCACTCCCCTCATGTATCACTTCAACCCCATTAGTACCTTATCTCTTCACCCCTTTCTCTTCACTCTTTTCCTGTATTGCTTCAACCCTATTAATACCTTATTTCTTCACCCCTTTCTCTTCACTCCCTTCCTGTATTGCTTCAACCCCATTAATACCTTATCTCTTAACCCCTTTCTTTTCACTTCCATCCTGTAACGTTTTACTCCCATTAGTACCTTATCTCTTGACCTCTTCCACCCTGTATCGCTTAAACCCCATTAGTACCTTACCTCTTGACCTCTTTCTCTTCACCACCATCCTGTATTACTTCAACCCCATTAGTACATCATCTTTTGACCTCTCTTTCTTTACTTCCAGCCTGTATTGCTTCACTCCCATTAGTACCTTATCTCTCTCTCTCTCTCTCTCTCTTTACTTCCCTCCTATATTGCTTCACTCCCATTAGTACCTTATCTATTTACCTCTTTCCCTTCACTCCCTTTCTGCATCACTTCAGCCAAATTTACCGTACCTTATCTTTTGACCCTTTCTTCCCCTCGCTTAAACCCAATTAGTACAGTATCTCTCGACCTCTTTACTTCCATATTGTATCGCTTAAACCCCATTGGTACCTTATCTCCTGACACCTTTCTCTTCACTTTCATCTGGTATTATGTCAACCCTATTAGTTCCTTATATTTTGTCCCTTTCTGCTCACTCTCTTCCTGTATTGCTTCACTCCCATTAGTACTTTACCTCTTGACCTCTTTCTCTTCACTACCATCCTGTATTGCTGCACCTCCATTAGTACCTTATCTCCCGACACCTTTCTCTTCACTCCCATCCTGTATCGCTTAAACCCCATTGGTACCTTATCTCTTGACCTCTTTCTTTTCACTCCCCTCATGTATCGCCTTATCCCCATTATTACCTTATCTCCTGACCTCTTTACTTCGATCTTGTATCGCTTAAACCCCATTGGTACCTTATCTTATGACCCGTCCACTTGACTCTCCTCCTGTATCCCGTCAACCCCATTAGTACCTTATCTCTTGACCCTTTTATCTTCACATCTCTCCTGCATTGCTTCACCACCATTCACACCTTATCTCTTGGTCCCTATCGCTCCACTCTACGTTTGGGTCTTCATTCCTATCATGTCATTGCACAGTTTTATCATTCACTCTGGCTTCATTTCCCTCGATAATTCATTGATATACACAACTAAACAACTTTTGAATAGCCACTAACAATGATAAATGCAAAACATAACATGACGAATTCACTATATAACAATGTACATGCACAACATAATATGATGAATGCAATACATAACAAGGTAAGTGCAGCACATAATATGATGGATGCAGTACATAATATGATAAATACACTACACAATCATGTACATGCACTACATAATATGATGAATGCACTACATAATATGATGAATGCACTACATAACATGATGAATGCACTACATAATATGATGAATGCACTACATAATATGATGAATGCACTACGTAATATGATGAATGCACCACATAAGGCAAATGCACCACATAATATGATGAATGCAATACATACCAAGATAAATGCACTACAAAGCAAGGTAAATGTACTACATAATACGATAAATGCACTACATAATATGATGAATACACGACATAACAAGGTAAATGCACCACATGATATGATGAATGAACTACAAAGCAAGGTAAATGCACCACATAATACGACAAATGCACCACATAATATGATAATGTACTACATAAGATAAATGTACCTCATAACATGATAAATGCACTACATAACAAGGTAAATGCACCAAATATGATAAATGAACTACATGATCACGTAATTGCACTACATAATAAGGTAACTGCACCACATAATATGATGAATGCAATACATACCAAGATAAATGCATCACCTAATATGATAAATGTACTACATAGCATGATGAATTCACTACATAATATGATGAATGTACTACATAATACGATAAATGCACTACATAATATGATGAACACACTACATAACAAGGTAAATGCACCACACAACATGATAAATACACTGCATAATATGATAATGCCTTACATAAGGTAAATGCACATGACAAGGTAAATGCATCATATATGATACATGCACTACACAATGTTGTTGTCTACAGAACAGGTACACAGGTAAACACTCTTTTATTTGTGAATTATTTTCTAAACAAGCATTTTTATTATGTTCTAAAATAGGCAGAGGGATCTTCTGAGTCGAATCGTGATATTTCCACTGTTTAGAAAATAGATGTTCAACAGACCCGTGCAACAATACTCCGGTCAGTTATAGGGCGCCTTTAACTATCGAACTGATGAGGGTAATGTTCTTCTAACCACATATGTGCTCTGATGTTGAGTCGACTGTAAGCGCAGTGCTTGGTGTAAATAAATATTCACACATACACATCTCTACATGCGTTTCCAGTTGATTGAGGTTGAAATAGTAAATGTCTAACTAGTATTTCTAGATTTCATCAATTAGCATATTGGCAACTATATCGGTCGACTTAACGTCAGCCGACAGTGCTACAACCTGCTTATAATACATTAGTCCAGTCTATTCAAAAACTGTTCAACATGATCTTGTCATCTGGTCACTTCCCTAGTAGCTGGAATTTGGGAATTATTACTCCGGTCTTCAAGAAGGGAGATAAAAATGATCCTGGTAACTATCGAGGTATTACCCTTCTGAATACATTAAACAAATTGTTCATTTCTGTATTAAAACAAAGATTAGCAAATCACCTACAAGAAAAAGATATAATTATTAAAGAACAAATTGGCTTTATGCCCACGTTTAGACCAGAAGATCACATATTTGTTCTAAAACAACTCCTTAAAAAATATTTCAGTCAAGGAAAAAAAATATATGCATGCTTTATTGACTTTCAGAAAGCTTTCGATTCTGTTTGGCATGAAGGTCTGTTACAAAAACTCATCATGAACGGCATTACAGGTAAATTCTATAAAATAATTAATTCTATGTACCAAAACTCATTAGGTGCAGTAAAGATAAATCATAATATAACAAACACCTTTCCAATTCAAAAAGGCATACGACAGGGTGATGGGAGTGTCCAGTGTTGTTTAATATATATGTTAATGACATAAAAAATCACATAAACAACTCTGGCAACGAACCACCAACTTTACTCAACAAAAGTCTACCATGTCTGATGTTTGCAGATGATCTTCTGCTTCTCTCAGAGACCAAACCAAAAAATGCCATTCAGTCCATGGAAGTATACTGCCGAAAATGAAAATTAGACATTAATATAAATAAATCCAAAATTATGATTTTCAATGAGTCTGGAAAAAAATTAACAAATCTGACTTCATTCTTAATGGGGCAGAGCTGGAAATAACACCCTCTTATACATATTTGGGAATGAAATTAAACACAACAGGCAAACTTGATAAAGCCGAAGAAGATCTCAAAAATAGAGCCATGAAAGCATGCTTCAAAATGAACCAAATGCTGTTCTCCGAAAACTAAATTCTAGTAGAAATGCAATGATCAAACCAATTCTGCTGTACTGTAGTGAAATTTGGTCCGATTGCATTATTAACAAAGGAAGCTTCTTGACAAATCTCAAATCACCCATTGAAAAATTACATATTAAATTCAGCAAGTCCTTATTAAAAGTAAACAGCAACAAATTTAGCAAGCTTGCTTGAGCTTGGTAGACTTCCACTTGCCATCTCAAGTATAAAGCAAATGCTGAAATATTGGATGCGATTAAATGACATGGATCATAATACATTAGTTCATGAAGCTTACCAGCTGGGCATACAGCTAGATGATGCAGGCGTACAAAATTGGGTAACAGGAATAAAAACCATTCTAAACTTTCTAGACCTTGGTGACGCATGGACACAATGTAAACATAACAGCAATTACAGTCTCCTTCATCTAATTTTAGATAGACTCATTAAACAGTCGCTGAAAACAGCATGTATGATGACAATAAATCTAAAAAGTCATAAAAACACACTTAAAACCTACAGATTACCGAAAACTGCTTTAACCGCAGAGATAGTGCACTGAAAAAACCACCAGCTGCCCCAAAAGAATCATTCAATTTTACATTTCTTGTATTTTATATTTTTGTTTTACTTATTGATCTAATTTTCTAATTGTTTACTTTAGTTACTTTTTTAGCTAGCTGTTGTTTATTTAAACAACATTCTTTATTGTATTATTTTCAAGATTCCAATAAGGATACGAAATCAATAAAGTTATTTACTTACTTTACTTACGAAGCTAGACTGCCGGTTGTATCTCCATGAACTTCACGTGAACCCGGAAGTGCAGCGGTTTATTGTTGACTCCCAGCATGCTTTGCATAACTATACTCGTAGAGGTCAGACCAGAGGTTGTATACGCGCAATATTTCCCACCTGCAAACGGGTACAATGTGTCATAGAACCAGCTGTGGAACTTGCAAAAAGCCGACATACTGGGGTGAGTATTGCAGGGAAGCCAGAATCCTGGTCCACATATAGATATAGCGTAGTAAAGGACCAAGTGTGAATGCACGCATGTATACAGTCATTATTTGATTATTACGTTTTCTCACAAGCACGTCATACATACGATAGAATAGCAAAATAGGTTCATGATACAATCTAAGTCGTTCTATAGTACAATACTGGACAGAGAACAGAACGGAATATAATAGAATTGTATTGGTTGTCTGAGGTTACACAAGCTAAGCTGTTGCAATATAGTTGTCCCCATTTGTAGTACCGACCAAGGTTAGCTCTGTATGCAATATAGTTGTCCACCATTCGTAGATACCGACCAAGGTTAGCTCTGTATGCAATACAGTCCCCCCCCCCCCCCCCATGCGTCACGGTAGATACAAACTTAGCCCAGCGAATATACCATACCTGAATATGGACCTCGCTGGTCTCTGTATGCAATGATTTTCTGTTGACTCGCATAAGTTTTTGTAATATTCATATAGGGTTAGGCCATATTATATGTGGGGTGCTTACGTCAGATTGTTTGTCTAATTCTAGCTTACCACATCCCTGGTTAAAATATTATTCAGAATTTTCGGTTTCCCAATTCTCTGCTTTAAAATTTCTTTTTTATTACTATTTTGTTGCAGGTTGTGGACGTCATGTTGAAATTGTGTTAAAGGATGTACCGGTAGATGAAAGATGTAAATGTCGCGAGATGAAAGGAGCTAGATGTTCAGTAATGTAACCCCGGTCAAGGCCATTTTTATGAAGACTGGCGTAGCTTCCACTAGCCGTGGCACTGCAACCATGGCCTTCCCACCTTGGCAGCTCGTCTAACGATCGTACTTTCTAACAGCACTGACCTGGTTAAACTATGGGAAACTTGTAAAGCAGTTGTTTGTTGTACTAGAATACATGCATATCGTCCTCTTCAAAAATACAGCCATCGATACTTACCAATTTATTAAAGTGATAGTAAAATCAATCAATCAATCAATCATTCAACTAACCAATCATTTAAATATCTGTTTAAATCGTGCCTTATGTGATTTTTCTGTCTTGAAAACAACGAACCACGCAATAGCTCAGGCAATTTTTATTTTCAAGAAATCCGGTGGAATGTAACAAACCTAAAAAGTTTGCGGTGCTATGAGTTGCCGTTATTTCAAAAGAATACTTGGATGATAGAGCAAGGACGAGGACGTGGCCTATTGGCGGCATGTTTAATACTTACAATTTACTATTCATGATTTTTTTATTTTTTTTAATGTATCTCTGTTACTAACATATCCAATCAATGTGTGACACTACATTCATAAAACAGGTATACAGTATGACTATATTGATAACGACATGCACTATATGAAAATGACGAATACAGTAATCGAATAATTATTGCCATGTTATTTTGCCTCTGAATATAATTTTGTAGCTGAAAACCATTGAGTGAATACATATTCTAATAGTGAGGTGTTGGTATTGTGTGCACACTTCTTCTCAATCTAAAATTTGACACCGCAGCGTATTTGTGCTTTATGTATTTATTATTGTCCTTCTGTATATGTGTTGTTTTCTGCACTAAGAATTAAGCATTTTGTCAGTTTGTTTGTGTATGGCGTTACATACAGTCTATCCAGTGTATATCCACCGGCAATCGTAGATCTGCTTAATATGTTGTTGATCTACTTGGCTTAGTATAAATAGATTACTGTAACAATAAACATAAATATATCACGGAGACCCGGTCAACGATCATCTATGTTAGGAGTTGTTTTGTTTTTAATCTGTGAACATTTCCAAACGCTGTTTGTCAATTTTATTGAAACTTGCATCTATTTAGAATAAACATGTTCGCTGTTTTTCCATGATGGTGATAACGTTCGCTCACTTCGAACACGAGTATACTTATTAGAACGCTGCCATTTTTTGACTTTACATAAGCTAGTATTAGTGAAAATTTACATGCGATATATGGCCTGGACATCAGTTAGAGTAGAAGTGAATTGATCTAAAAAAAATGACTTTTATGTACAATGGTAACATGGAACAACTAACCTTCTGCGATGTGACACAGTACCTTGAGAAAACTGGTCGAATATTTATCTATGCAATACGAGGTGAAAGTAAATTCGACCGATGACCCCAGACTTATTTAATTCATTATTCATATAATGTATTACAAAATGTCATTCATGAGCAGGTTTAATGTGTTGGGGGTCTGTGGTTAAACCTTTAATTTTCAATAATGCCATGTGTAGGTGTATTGGACAGTGCATTTAACATCACATGATCACCGCATTACTACAAGCACCGACACACCAATACATCAATATGTGCGAGAGAATAATTTGTGAGAAATGCCAAAAACCCAGTTACAAGGGTAAGTATTAATTTCTGAGTTGTCCCATCCCTCGAACTGCATATGCAGGCATATGTCAGGGTGTGGTCGGATGGGAGCGTGGTGGTGAAAAACCTCATTACATATTGTAATAAATATATCATTAGAAAAAGAAATGTTTTTTTTTTTTTTACATGACGAGTAAATGCTCGGGAAACGTATATACAGCCGAATTTGCATTAGTTTACAATATTGGGTCCCTTAAATAGTCCACAGCAGTCCAATGCAAGATGGCGATATCAGTATTGATAACCCATGAAACGATGCACTGAACAGTGGGAATTCAAAATGAATCACATAGACGTAGAAAATATCGATATTGATAGCATTTTCTATGAGTAGTGATAATACTTTTAGATGGAGAGATATATAATTCATTGTTGATAATTTAGTGAATATACATTGCTTGGTTGTGTATTATTGACTGAACGTAAAGACACAGAAACAATTTGTTCATGCATTTTACAATCATCCACTGCTCATCTAGCACCGTCCTGTTTTAGTGTAATTCAATGTAATTTCACCACCGAATTATGGATTGTTTTTCTTCAGTAGTAATGCTACTGGTCTATTATTTACGGGAGTTACTGCCTGCTTTGAGGCTGTTTTGTGCGGTACTTCATGTTCGCTAGTGAGTTTGGTGGACTTTCATTATGGCGCCTAATGTTTTGTACGTTGAGTATGAAAGGAGCTGTACTACTACTGGACGTCTGGACTGTGGACTGCAGGACTGTGTGGATCTATCTGCAATATAGTTGTCCTCCATACGTAGATACCGACCAAGCTCTGCTTTGTGTGCAATGCATATGTCCGACATACGTAGATACCGACCTATCTCAACTCTGTATGCAATATATAGTTGTCCATCATTTGTAGATACCGACCAAGATCAGCTCTGTATGCAATATAGATGTCTACCATATGTGAATATCGACCTCGCTGTTCTCTTTATGTAATGTTTGAGCTTTTCTGTTGACTCGCATACGTTTTTGTACTATTCGTATAAGATTAAGCCATTTTTTGTGGATTTCTTATGTCAGATTGTTTGTCCAATTTTAGCCTGCCACATCCGTGCTTAAAATAAGGTTATGGCTTTTCCGTTTCCCAACTCTCTGCTTTGAAAACACTGTTTATTTTGTTGTAGGTTGTGGATGCCATGTTGAAATTGTGTTAAAGGATGTACCGGTGGATGAAAGATGTAAATGCCGTAACTTAAAGATGAAAGGAGATAAATGTTCAGTAATGTAACCTCGTTCAAGACGATCTTTATGAGGACTGGTGTAATACTACTTCCACTACCTATGGCACTGCAACCATGGCCTTCTCACCTTAGTAACTCGTCTAATGATCTTTGTTACATGGTACTTTCTAACAGCACTGACCTGGTAAAACTATGGGAAACAAACCTACTAACTTACGTGATGGTAAAACCATTGAATTAAATAGCTGTTTAATTCGTGCCTAATGTGATTTGTCACTCTTTAAAACAACGAAACACGCAATAGATCAGACTTGTTTACATTTTGTGTGCCTGTGCCAAGCGAAATGTAACAGGCCTAATCAGTACACGGTGCTATGAGTCGAACTTTTACAGTTGGCGTTATTTCAAATAAATACTTGGAGGATTGTCGAACAAGGACGACAAAAATACCACGTGACCCTAACCCGCACCTGACCTATTGGCGGCATATTTGATGCTTACAATTTATGAACTATTCTTTAGTATTTTCATGGATCTTTGTTATCAATCCAATCAATATGTGATACTACATTCATTTATTTTGCGTCTGAATATCATTTTGTAGCACTAGAACTAATTGTACATACATTTACTCAGATGTGCTGAAAACCACTGAGTGAATACATATTCAATTAGTGAGATGTTGGTATTGTATTTACGATATTATTTTGCACACTTCTTCCCAGACTCATTCGACACCGTAGCATGTCTGTGCCTTATGTATTTATTATTTTCTCACTGTATATGTTTTATTTTCTGTACTAATGTGGCCACCTATAGAATTAAGCATGTTGTCAGTTTGTTTGTGTATGGCTCCACATACAGTATATGTAGTTTGTATCCGCCGGGAATCGTAGATCTACTTACTATGTTGTTGATCTAGTTGGCTTAGTATAAATAGATTACTGTAACAATAAACATAAATATATCACGAAGACCCTATCAACAATCATCTATGTTGAGAGCTATTTTGTTTCTAATCTGTGTAATTTTTGAACGCTGTTTTCCAAATTTATTGAAATCTACATCTATTTAATATAAACATGTTCGCTGGTTTGCTATGATGGTGATAGCGTTCGCTTACTTCGCAGACTTTACATAACTAGTATTAATTACATATACTAGTATGGTCTGGACATCAGTTGTGGTAAAAGAAAATTGGTCTAAAATAAATGATTATTGTGTACAATGAAGGTCCATGGTAACATGGAACAACTGGTCTTCTGTTGTATGACACAGTACCTTGAGTAAAATGGTCGAGTATTTATCAATAGCATATGACGTCCAAAAAACTTTGATCGATGATGAAGACTCATTTAAGTCAATATCCATATATTGACTGGGAATATAATTTATTACAAAATGTCATTTATGAGCAGGTTTAATGTCCTTAAACCTTTATTTTTCAAAAATGACATGTGAGGGCGTACTGGAAAGTGCATTCAACATCACATGATCACCGCATTACTACAAGCACCGACACACCAATACATCAATATGTGCGAGAGAATAATTTGTGAGAAGTGCCAAAAACCTAGTTACAAGGGTAAGTATTTACTGCATATGATGTGATTTATTTCATTTTACGGCGATACATTCGTTACGAGTTGTTTCATTCCTCAAAATACATTTGCAGACAATACTCTCGGGGTGGGATAGGAGGGGGTGTTCGTGGTATTGGAAAACATCACATAACACATTGTAATATATATACCATTACAAAAGTAAATGTTTTTACCTGACGAGTAAAGGATTTGGAAAAGCATATACAAACTAAATAATCCACAGCAGACCAATGCAAGATGGCGATATCGATATTGATAACCCATTAATCGATGCACTGAACAGTGGGAATTCAAAATGAATCATGTAGACGTAGAACATATCGATATTGATTGCATTTTATATGAGTAGTGATATTACTTTTAGATGGAGAGATAAATAATTCATTGTTGATAATTTAAAGAAGTGTATGAACAGCAGTGTTTTTACTATACCAGTAATATTGGACCACTCAGTTGGACAGTAAATTTAACAGTCCATCTATTTATATACCATGATGTATTCCCAGAGGATTATTAATATTTATAAGGGACCAGCGTGTGTGCATTATGGGGCCCGAAACCAGTACTGAATTGATTGAGGGATCATTACTGTTTATGCTTCTTACATGCGATTTAATTGTGGTTCTAACTCAATTCACTGTAGGAACAATGTTTTACAATGGGCAGAAAAATAGCCTGAAATGCACCTTTTTATTATGTCGCACCCTTATATGTCGACACGTTCTTATGACGTACAAATTACGTGGACGAGATTACAGCCATAACTGTGTTCGGTTGTGTATTATTGACTGAACGACAAGATATGGAAACAATGTGTTCATGCATTTTACAATAATCCACTGTCTACTCAGCTTTCGTTCAACGTATTTTAACCGAATTATGGATTAATTCGCTTCACTAGCGACGCTACTGGTCTATTATGTACAGAGAGTTACTGCCTGCTTTGAATCTGTGTTTTTGTCATCGCGTAATTTGAGCGTTTTGCGGTATTTCTCTAGTGAGTTTGATGGATTTTCATGGTGGCGTATAATGTTATGTATGTTGAGTAAGACGAATGGAAGAGGAACTTCACTGTGTAGAAAATTTATATTTGTTAAATATGATCCTATGGTTTTATATAGTGACATGAACATACTGATTTTCAAGATTTCTGATATTGTTCAAGTATTGTGGGGGAAACTGAAAATAATTTAAGATGACTGTTAAGGATTACAGTACCTTGAGGGAGGGGGCGCATTTGTAAAAACTACATAAGATTCTAATA